TCTCCGAAATTTCCAAAGAAACTATTGTTTCTGCCGCTTCACCCTTCACTGCAGATTTCAAATAATGGAATTTCTGAATTTCATTCAATAACGTATTTGAGTGTATCAACGCATTAAAAGTGTTAAAAAAGGAATACCACTCTTCGTAATCACCCGAAAAGGTGGGCAAATCAATTTTAGGTAACCTTACATTACTTCTTACTCTAGGAACATCCGGTAATGCAGTCTGGTTCAAATCGTCGAGAGCCAAAGTTGGCTTATCACGGTTTTTAATTATTCTCTCTCCCGCTAATTTCAAATCGAAGTACTTCTCCTCATAATTTACTAACTCTTGATCAACTTGCTCATCTGTCACATTCTCGTCATGAACAGCTAATTCCGTTAGAATTTCTTCTAACGACTTCCACAAATCATCTAATTTGTTTAACCGTAATTTTACTTCCTTAATATCAACTGTGTTTGGCTCTATAGACCTTATAAAATTCTCTACTCGTGTAAAACCAGCTTTGGCTACTCTCTTTCTTTGTTTAAGTTTCATTAATTCGGCGTTTTGCGGCATTTTCGTTATGCTTTTTACCATCCTAACAGATTGCACTTAGAGCTAATACATTACAAGTCCTTTAACGCAAAGTTTCCCTTGTGCTTGCGTCAATGTATTAAAATTATCGATACCAAGATGGCTTCGTCCTTGTGCAGTAAAGGCGTGCTTCACTTGTGATGATGGACTCGTCCGTGCTTCGTGAGGACTCCCTTTCGGATTTGCTAACAAGCTTGCTCACACCGTAGACCTCGCGTGAACAATCGACCTTGGCAAGAAGTTCCCCCTTATGCTTTGTCTCGGCAGCTGGATTCCTATGTGTTGCGTGTTTGTATTCACGTGTAACGTTTTCCTGTTCTGACCGACTCTTTCACCTTGCTGCGGTGGTGTTAAGCCGGTGTGCGTACTTTCGTTCTCGACTTTACTCGACTAAAATCCGGCTCGAAGGACCATGTTACGAAAATAACTCCTGTGTGATTGATTGTATGTGGAGGGTTTCTTGCGTTAATAATTGCTATTCTTAATTTTACACCGTTTATTCCTCCTTTTCTGCCGAGCTACAACCACTTACTACTACTATTGTTACGCATGCGCAACTCTCCTGCTTGGTAGCACCTCATCAACGCCACCACCTCAGAGACACCGCATCAGCGACACTGCCTCAGCGCCACTGCATCTTTCCGTGCTACTACACCTCTAACAAATAAACCTACGGAAATGTCACTCTCAGATTTTTCTGAAATTTGGATATGTTATAATATATAAAAAAGGACACGA